ATCTCTCTACACCCTCCTTTCAGGGAGTTGTAGAGAGCAATAAGGTCTCCCCTCAGCCTCCTCTTCTCCAGGCTGAACACCCCCAGCTCCCTCAGCCTCTCCTCATCAGACTTATTCTCCAGACCCCTCACCATCTTTGTCGCCCTTCTCTGGACCCGCTCCAGCACCTCAATGTCTTTTTTATGGTAGGGGGCCCAAAACTGGACACAGTACTCAAGGTGAGGCCTCACCAGTGCCGAGTACAGGGGGACAATCACCTCTCGGGCCCTACTCGCCACACTGTTCCTGATACAGGCCAGGATGCTGTTGGCTTTCTTGGCCACCTGGGCACACTGCTGGCTCATGTTCAGCCGACAGTCGACCAACACCCCCAGGTCCTTTTCTGCCAGGCAGCTCCAGCCACTCTGCCCCCAGCCTGTAGCGCTGCAGGGGGTTGTTGTGACCCAAGTGCAGGACCTGGCACTTGGCCTTGTTGAACCTCATCCCGTTGGTCTCAGCCCATCGATCCAGCCTGTGGAGATCTCTCTGCAGAGCCTCTCTACCCTCCAGCAGGTCGACACTGCCACCCAGCTTGGTGTCGTCTGCGAACACCCCAAGGTTCTCCTCCGTCCATCTCCTTTGGCAGCACCGTGTCACTCCTGACAGGGTCTGCAGCCTCCTCTGCCAACAGCGAGGGGTGGGAGGAGAAGAAGGGATGCGATGGTCCCCCCTGTTCAAGTCATCAGCTCCCCAGGGATGGCCGTGGGGTGAGCGGAGCCAGCACCGCAGCCCTAGGGATCACCATCCAGCTCCTCTGCAAGGTCCTGCTGCGACTCCACACACACCATGAGGACAACGTTTCCAGCTCTTGCTTCCCAAAAGCCCTCGGCCCCTGCCCCACAGACCAGCTCTGCTGCAACCTCCATCAAGGCTGGGAGAGATGTCCCTTTGTGGTGCCACTCTTGCATCTTCCGTTCTCACACATGGAAACTTGCACCCTGAAGACGCCCACACTCTGCTTCTGCTGAAGGACATGAGCTTCGAGAGCTCAAGTATTCAGTTCCTGTGCCCACAATAGCTGGAGGTGACTCTTCCGCTCTACATCCGAGGGGTGGTGACAGCCTGGACCACCACAGCACCCTCAGCAGTGCTGGAGGGGATGCTGATGGCCAGCTCAGCTCCCCAAAGTCAAGCCCAGGAGCTCGAGCAAGTTCCAACCACAAAGGTCTTGGACTGAACTTCCCCGAGGCTGAAGATAAATCCCCTTAAGACCATTCGCTCCATCTAGTGGCAACCCATTCCCGAGCTTCCATATTATTCCCCACCCTCTACAGCAAAATCTCTCCCCCTTCCAGGAGTTTCAACATCAGGTTACCATTTCTTTGCACAGCCCTGTGTGCTGCCAACTTCTTGCTGCTCTCTCAGGTGGTCCCTCTGCAGCCGTTTCAGCTCTTGATGTTCTCCCTTTGCTGCCAAAACTAAAAAGTTCTTCTGCAGCAGCTCCCCTGCTCTGAAAGCTCAAGGTGATAAGGGAAGGAGAAAAGCTGGTCTATCCACCTCCAGAGTCCTGGCAGGGAATTCTGCTCTGATATCCTGCTGCCAGGGCTCCCGCAACCCAAGAAAAACCATGTGGGCTGTGGAAAGGAGATGTGGCATCAACAAACTGGGACCCCAGGGATTGGCTCGGGGACAACCAGCTCGCTCAGCTCCAAGCTGCCCGCACTTGTGGGTCAGCGAGCACCCAAAGGGCAAGGAGGGACTGGGAAGGAGGGACTGGGAAGGAGGGACTGGCTCCGGAGGAGCCGTGGTTGCTTTTACCCATCACCTTCTCCGCTGCAGACGTGGAGCCATGTCCGGGTAAATTCCCAGTTTGGCAGAGGTGCAGCGGGAGACTCTGCTGCTGCAGGAACCTGGAGCTCAGAGGGAACACAGCCCCTGCCCAGCCTAGATGGAGGCCGTGATCTCAGCTAGATAAAAAGTACTGTAATCTTCCCAAACAGATGGGCTCCCGCAGGCCTGATCCCTGCCAGCTTCCCCTCCTCTCCCAGCTGTTTGGCCTCCCCTTTCAGCAAAGCCCTGCCAGAGCTGGAGCCAGACCGAGGAGTGGGGGCATCCAGAGGCACAGACAGCCCTGAGCTGCAGCCCCCCTGTCCCGCTCCGGGCTTAAATCCACCCACCCCAGCCCCAAATCCAATTCCCTTCCTAGTCTGTGCCTCAGAGAGCTCTTTTTTCCTGCATGAAAGCCCCAGCTCTGAGCCAGTCCTTTGGGTTGTGATTTCTATTCCCATATGCGATGTCATAAAGTTTCTAACCCTCTTCTTATTCAGTGAAATAAGAATTTCTAGAGACAGAGGAGCTGCAAATGTCACCTCTCACTAAGACACCACCATCCCCACTCGTGACTGTACACACCGTGCGGTGCCACTCGCCGCCCTCACCCAGGTCTTCTCCTTCCCACACCAG